CGAACCTCTGCAGCTTCATGTGGTTCATCTGAGGACGAACCTCTGCATGTGGTTCATCTGAGGACGAACCTCTGCAGCTTCATGTGGTTCATCTGAGGACGAACCTTGTGCTTCTGTCTCATCAGTGGAGTGTCTTCCCGCTCCGAATGTCACGTGCCGGCTCCCAAACGGAACAGAGTTCCGGTTCAGCGGGGACGAGGTGGGGTTCAACAGAACCATCAGCTGCAGGAACGTGTGAGTGGTTCTGTTTCTGACCCGCTTGGCTTCAGAACGTTTGATCCAAAGATTCTGATCCCTGACGTTCATCGATGTTCAGTCTGGTCATCTGGAAGTCTGCTCCTCTGAGGCAGCCATGCCAAAATGGTTCAGAACATCGAAGTTCATGCTCAGTAATCCTGGTTTTCCACTCTGGGACGTGCTGCTTGTGGGACTCCGTTTGTTGTGGCTCCTCAGTCTGATGAAGTCCTTTGGATGAAGGATGAAACATCAACAATAAAAGAAACCATCCAGATGACCTGACTGAACATTGTTGGATTACTGAACATGAACTTTGATCCCTGACGTTCCAGTTCTTCTCTCAGGAGCGGCTATTCTTACAAAGTGGCTGTGGCTCTGTCCCTGTTTCTGGGTTGGCTTGGAGCGGACCGCTTCTACCTGGGATACCCTGCTCTGGGTCCGTATACACACACACACACACACACAGACAGAGAGACACGCACACAGAGAGAGACAGACACACACACACAGAGACACACAGACAGAGAGAGACACACACACACACACACACACACACACACACACACACACACACACACACACACACAGAGAGACACACACACACACAGACAGAGAGACACACACACACAGAGAGACACACACACACAGAGAGACACACACACACAGAGAGACACACACACACAGAGAGACACACACACACACAGAGAGACACACACAGACACACACACACAGAGACACACACACACAGACACACAGAGAGAGACACACACACACACACAGACAGACACCGACCGACCGAACGGACGGACGGGACGTCCAGAGGGACGGGATGGAACCGGACCGGACGGACGTTTGATTACAGAGGAAACACCTGAGGATGAACCTTCACCTGTCAGGAAATAAAACATAAGGAGGTTCTAGGTTACAGAACCGACCCGACTCGGAGCTAAAGTTCTGTTCAGTCAGACGTTTGATGGTTCTTCTTGTTCAGTAAAAAGTTTCTCGATTTAAAAATAATAGTTTTTTTTTAAAAAGGACATGCAGGTTTTCATCACTCCCCCGGTAGAGATCAGAGGAACGCAACAGTTCTGAACGTGGGGGGTAAACCCCCAGACGGGCCGTTAACCGGTTCTGTGTAGTCCAGCAGATGTACTGAATTTGTTCTGGATCAGGAACCTGCAGAGAACCGGATCTTTCCAGCAGTGAGTTCTCTTCAGGTAGACGCCTGCACCGGCTAACACCTGACTCTGTTTAGGTCCCGTCTGCCAGAACCGGGCCCATAAAACCGTCCGGCAGCTTGGAAGAGATCGCTTTCGTTACTTCACGTGTTTGAGAAGTGAAAATAAAAATAAAGTACGTATTGACAAATGATTGAAAAGGAAAAATAATCCAAGCTGTTCAATCCGCTCCAGTTCAGTTTGTTAGTAGGAATTATTTTAATATTTTTCCACAGAACGCTACAGGAAGTTCTTCCTCCCTGTGTCTATCAAACTTTTCAACTCCTCCCCCTTTCTACACAGAACACGATCAAATGAATCCTGCACCAAAATAAACACTTTAATCTAAAAAAGTTAAATCTGGTCGTCTGGACATTCAAAAAACAAAACCTGTCTTATTGAGCATGCATCAGGATAAACACTTGGACCTGTTTAGAACTTCATGTTGGTAATTTTATATTCTCTTATTTTATATCTTGTGTGGTTCCTTGTTTGTTCCTTCGTACTGAAACTCTGGCACAACGATTTCCTGCGCGATCGATAAAGTTCCGTCTTATTTTCAGTATTTTAGTGCCAGCAGAAAGTTCGGTCTCAGGATTTACAGATGAAAGTTTCTGTCTTGTAAAAGAAATAAAACCCAACAAAGATAAAACCTGACACTTTTCAAGAGATAAAACTCAGTCGTGGTTCAACAGATTAATTTAGGCTCATGAGACGTCCTGACCAAAAGGATGGTACTGCTACAAAGACTGTCCACAGGGACGTGTTGGACTAAGGCGTGTTCAGTCTGTGTTCAGTCAGTCCGCCTGTTTAAAGGGTGACGTGTAGTCACAGGGCTGTTTGGTATCATGGTGTGCAATGGACAGCAGGAAGCTGAGGACAGTGTCTCAGGAGGACTCCTCCATACCTGAGACAGGTGGAGCAGTTTCACAATGAGTGGACCAGAACACCTGTGGGTGGGCGGGGCAGAACACCTGTGGGTGGGCGGGGCAGAACACCTGTGGGCAGGTTTCAGATGCTCCAGACGACTCTTGATTGACTCGATGGTTGTAAATCCAATGTGAAGTTACGGTTCCACGGATGTTGGAACGGATCAGCTGTAAAACGTCGTCTCAGCCGTTTGTTTTTACTTTGTGTCCTGCAGGTCTGTTGAAGTTCTGCACCGTTGGGTTCTGTGGGATCGGAACTCTGATTGACTTCATATTGATCACCATGCAGGTGAGTCCTCACCTGTCTCACCGGGTCTGAACACTGAGGCCCTGTTCACACAGAAGTCTTGTTTGTTTCTGGGAGCTTCCTCGTAAACGCCACACCGTTTTTAGAAACATTTCCGTCCACACAGAAAACTGCAGTAGCGCTGTGACAAGGACGCAGCAGAAAGGGGAGGAGCCTGAAGCTCACGCTGGGGTTGAGAGGTGAACACCAGCAGAAGACTCTGCCCCCATGTCGTAGGCCAGGTGGTAGGCGGGGCTATGATGTCATTGTTTTCAAAGGTTTTTGTTTTGGTGTCCCCATGAGAACGTAACGGTGGCGCTTCAAGATGTTTTCTCTCAGGAACCTGATTTATAAAAACAGCTTTTCTATGCGAGCGGCTTCACACAGAAATATTAAAATGTTACTTTAAGAGCTAAAACGTGATTTTTATTAATGGCAGCCAGTCACTGTTTACAGCTTTCTTTTTGTCACCGAAGGCAACAGGAGCCATAAATGGACAAACTCCTCAGTCGGGGCTTGAACGACTACATAATTTTTAAACGCGACATTAACATAATAAAACTCGAGTAGTTGACGACGTCATAGGATCTCAAGATGAAAAAATAAATAAATTAAAAAAAATAAAACCGCAAAAAAACTTAATTTATTAACAAAAAAAAGACCAACAAAACATTGGAAGAGTATATTATGCTCCAACCATTCATCAAACTGCAAATAAGTCACAGGAAAACCAAAACTATTAGTTTTTATTATTAAACTGCAAAAGTGAAGAAACGTCAAAAACGAAACTTAAAACAACGGGCGGTCGAACACCACCAGCTGTGCTGCGCATTAAGTTTAGTTTTAGACATTAATATGTTTATAGTCTTTTTTTATAGGTTTAGAGATTAATATTTTCTGCTTTTAGTTTGTGAAACAAGAGGAAGCTGGTTCTGGTTCGGTCATTGGACCCGGTGTTACATTATATTCTGTGACCTGCAACAGTGCATGCAGCACCGCCCCCTACGGTCATAATGTACGGTGGTCACAGAATATGGTGTAACACCGGTTCACAACGAGCTCCAACCAGTCAGGAAGTTGATTAATTTTCTGTTTCCTTACGGTAGTTGAACCAGAAGATTCATCTTTAGTGAAATATTTCCAGACTATTGATGCTGTTCCACCTGTTTGTCAAGACTGGACCTGCTCCGCTCAGTCCATCTGCTGGGAGGAATCCATTTTGTAGCTTCTACTAGTAGCCCGGTGCGGATCACGTGACACGTCGACGCAATGACATCACTGCAATGTTATGACATCACTGCGAATACTCGACGTGACATTAAAAAAACTCGATGATGTCCTAGGAATCGACCTGTCGATTACTCGAGTAGTCTGTTAAAGCTCCATCAGTCAGTGTGTGATGGCACAAGTTTCCTGACTTCCTGTCACTCAGATTCTCAGTTGGTTGTAATGAAGAGGTCCTGGTTTCCACGGTGACAGATGAGCCTTCTGATTATTATTTACACCCATTGATCCTGTGGTGCCGCTCGTCTCCAGACCTGAACATGAGTGGTGGTTCCAGAAGGTTCTAATGTACTCGGAGGACGGATGGAGACTCCTCCTGTCTCAGTGTTTTAGGTAATAGAAGCTGACGGATGGAACCAGAGACACGTGGACCGGTGGACAAGTTCTGGTTTTAGCACAAACATCAGAGAGCAAATTTAGTTTCAGAACCAGATCTCTGTCCAAATCAAATCAACTTTGAATATTGTGTGTTTTTAACGTTGACAGGATCTAATGCTCGTTATCAGCTCGTTAACAGGATCTACTGTTCGTTATCAGCTCGTTAACAGGATCTACTGTTTATCAGCTCGTTAACAGGATCTAATGTTTATCAGCTTGTTAACATGATTATCAGCTTGTTAACATGATTATCAGCTCGTTAAGATTATCAGCTCGTTAACAGGATCTAGAAGATTTACACGTTTAACAAGTTTTAACCAGGTTCTGTTGTTGTGTCTCTTGCAGATCGTAGGTCCTGCTGATGGATCCAGCTACATTGTGGATTATTACGGCGCCCGACTGACCCGGCTGTCCATCACTAACGAGACGTACAGGAAGCCCCACCTCTCTTTGTGAGCACACCGGGTGGAGTGTAAGTTCAGGAGCTTCTGGTCCATCAGAACTTCAGAATGTGTTTGGAATAAATGAATTCATCTTCTCGTATTGATTTTTCTCTGACGGTTCAAGGTCTGGCCGTCCTCACACAGAGTGGTTAAATATAAGAGGGAAAGTCAACATGGGGGGGCAGCGTTCAGGGGGAATAACAGAACAGTCGGAGCCCAGAAACATGTCCCAGAACTTGTTAGGTCCTCTGTGCATGAAGCTGAAACCCAACAGAACTTTAATTTGTTCTCATTAGATTCAGCTGAGTTTTTTTGAAACCGGAGAATCGGAACGACTCCGAGCTAAACGACGGTTAAACCACAGCTTAGTGTCACACTTTAATAATCTCTGAGGATTAACGCTGGCTCTCATGTGTGTTTCTACAGGATCTCCACGGAGAACCACCTGGATCTGACCGTCACAACAACTCAGCTGCTCATCACTTTTCTGTTTGACTGTAAACTTCCTTCATTTTTAGGTTTTATAAGACTAAGTTATGTTTGTGAGACGTAAATAAAGTGTCTGTGCTTAACTTCCTGCCATCATTATTAGTGTTTCATTCAAATTCAATAAAAAAAACTTTATTAATCCCAGAGGGAAGTTAAGTGTTGTCGTAGCTCATCATCCTGGTTTCATTCAAGAGTTGTTGGATGCTGATGCTGTGGGCAGGAAGGAGCTCCTGCAGCGACCCAAAGAATCTGGCCACAGATACCGATCCGTCCACCTGGATCCAGCTTGCTGTCAGATCTGGTGGGCCCCTCAGTCCTCCTGGGCAGCAGGATCGCCCGAAGGCCGGACAGAATTCCTCCCTGAGTGATGGTCACTCCTCCCAGCAGTCTGCCGAGCTCCTCGTCGCCATCAATCAACCTTTATTTTTACAGGTAAATCCCATTGAGCCTCGAGGACTCATTTACAAGAGAGACCTGATTTCAACAAAGAAAGATGACAACAATGGACAACAGCAACAACAATAAACAGTTATAAAAACTCATACTACAGTTTTTTTTTTTTTTTTTTTTTTTTTTTAACAAATA